AGCTAGTTGTCTTAGGGAAAAAAGTCAGGGTCTCACTGGCTTGACAGCTCTGGGACTTCATTGCTTCCTTCTAGGTATCCCTAATATCTAACCTTATCAGTATTTACAAGTGGAGTTTCTTGTTTTACAAATGTTTTATGAATACAAGTATATGTTACTGATCTGCTAAGAACATTTCTGTTGAAAGTACAATATAAAAAATAAAGTGACAACATTGTCTCATCTATTTTGTTACATTCGTCAAGGTAGGTGAACATAAGCTGAACTTAAGTGGACAACCTAACGAAGGGACTATTGCCCCACCCAAAAATTAGTCAGTGTCCTACATGCCAGTGGTCACAAAAGCCTATTTGTCATTGGCTGTCCACAACAGCACATTCTGGAGTATACTACCAGTGCCTATTTGCCTGCCTGTGCCCGTAAGGAGGAGGGCAGGGCAGTAGCTTTGGGGGGAAGACAAAAATAGAATGATGACTTGGTTGGGAGGTACACTAACTCCTGCAGCCAAGGAAAAGTCCCAACTCCCCTAGTCAGGCACAGCCTTCATGTCTAATACAACTCGGCTCCAACAGGGAGTCAAGAAGCCTATCGCTAACTCTGCTTGGCACTGCCCCCTCTACTCTCCCCACCATTTCTGCTTCCTGATCAGAGTTTCTACTTCATATGTACCAGCACAATGTTATGGTTTCTCTGGCTAGATAGATCTAGGAGCTCAGACCACCAGAATCACTGCAAAAGAAAAGTAGTGGCACTGTTCGATAGCTGGCCCCCAACTGCCTCCCTGCAGTACCTAGGCTGTTAGCATGCTCACCCTGACCGTGTGGACATTCTGGGTTGCATGTCAGCAAGTTCAATTATTTCTACTCATCTCTTCTGGGTAGATACAAACTTAAGGGCAGGCAGCCACAGAGTAGGCTGGATATCTGAGCTCTGGAGATTCAACTTTACAGCTTGTTGCATGCTGAGTGGGGAATATGCATATAAAACCTGAATCTGGAGCAGCATTACAGATCAGCAGCTTAGAGACCTTGTGACCCTGAGAATCACAACTCCTTTTCTCTCTTTTCCATCTAAAGATCTAATTACAGCAGCCTTTGAAGAGGTTGAGCCTAGGAACACAGGACTGAAAGGGACCACTGGCAGGGTGACCGAATTCGGTTTCACCTTGACTCCTGGCAACCAGGTGATAGATGACTTGCTCAGAAAGGTTCACAGAATGTGTATTCCATGTGACAGTACAAAGTTTTTCCTATAATCTCTAACAATCAAACTGCAGTAAAATGAAAAAAGCATGGCCAAAAAATTCACATGCAGACAAGGAAGAAAACCAACAGCTTAAGAAATATTTTAGGCTCCTTCAACAATGGGAAATTAGATAAATAAATGAAAGTTGCAAATGATCCCACACAGGAAGCCCATATCACACAGGAAAAGCAAAGCAGGATACAACACATCTTATCTGGGGATGCAATCTCATTTGCCTAATCTTTCTGATAGTTTAAGGCTAAGCAGGACCCACCCATTAAGTACTTCAAGATTTCCATTACAATAACATTGCTAATCACCTGAACAATTTGCCTGTGTGCAGCCACTTTTTTACTGGAAGATCAAAAATTATGTCAAAAAGCTAAATCAAAACCCATAAAGAAAGATGGTTGTGACTTTAATGGAAACAAAAAAGGCCCTGAAGCATGATATTAAGGCTTCATTTCCCCGCTTCAGACACAGTTTGTTCTGTTGTACAATCTTATCAATAAATACAGCAACTGACATCTAAAAATATCACAGTATAGTCCCCTTGTTCCCTCTTGTGTGCTTGCTTGGCTTTTCTAGAATTTCGCCCCTCACTGCTGCTTAAGAACCTTTTTATAGTGCCTCATCTAAATTTATCGATGATGAACATATATCTTCCTCACTTTATTCTCCTGAAGCATAACACATCATCTTTCTTGCCTTTGTAACTTGATATTGACCACCACTTGTAATTGGTGGTCAATATCAAAATCTAGAAAACAGATGGCTCTCCTCCCCCTACTTGCTTGGCTGGAAGAACACACAATTGACTAAAAGAGGATATACTCCCTTTTGACTTATGTAATCAATAAAACATGACTTAGCTCAGCAAGGGTATGGTAGTATTTAATTGCCTTAAGACGCATGCTCATTTTTCCTTTTGCAGCTGTAAAAACATGAACTGAAACAATAAAATTCACCTGATTCATTATCTTAGGGTGAAAAGCTCTATTTTTGTGAAATCCAGCACTGATTTGGGCTCAATTTTATGAGAGCTTATAGGCTCAAATATAGCAACTGTTGTGAATCTCAGCTGATACCTGAATTAATTTACATTTAACTTTAAGACATTCCAAATAATTTGTTACTAATAGTGGGTTTAACAGCTGCTCATGTAAATCATTATGAAAGCTTTTAAATTATTGGATTTATTCAAGTCTTCAGATTCTTTTTTAATATTCAAACCAAAACGGATTACAATCTGTTTATCCTCTTTGCCAAGGTGCCTGCAGAACAAGAAAAATAGTCAGTCATTTCTGTGTGAAACACATAGGGCATGATGTTCCTATCAATGGCATAAAAAATAGGTAAGTGAATCCATGCTTCAAGCACAATATGAAATTGCAGGAAACTGTAATTATTGAGTCAACTGTATTACCTAAGAAAACATTTAAGCATATTCTGAAGCTTTTACTCTCTAGGAAAAGAACTTAATCACATAAATTTCACTGATGTGGAAAGCTTTTCAGCTTCAAAGTAAAGAAAACCCAAACAAACATACAGAGGTTAAAAAAAGGTTAGGAGGACTCTGTGCCTAAAACATTGTGTTGCATAATAAATATGCACCTGAATATTTTCAATTTATCTCACATGCAAGAACAATAAAACCAAAGTGATTTTATCATATTATTAGAAATATTAAGAAAAATTAGACTTGTTTGGTGTATGAAGGGCTACTTACAGACAGTTAACTTACAGTAAATTTAAAAACCTGGATATCCAGATGTATATTTACCACGTATTACCATAAAATTTAAAACTCAGTAATGATTTATTCACCTGTTTTAGTGTATGCCCAGATAGCAACTTTAATTCATTTTAAAAATGCACATGAAATTAATTGTGTTCTTCAGACTTTGCAGGAGTCGAATCTACTTGCACAATTACATCTCTGCTACCCATGTTCATCCTTCTCAATAAGCATACATCAGCTTTGTAAGCATGTAAATAATTATCAGTTTTCATGGTTACTGTACCTCCACTACAGTATGCTTCTCACAACTCAAAAGTTACTGAAGTCTTCATAATTCAAAACCATTTTAAAATAAGTAATAAAAATAGTAGCAAACAAAAAATAAATTGCATAATTTTCAATCTCAAATTCTTTTTAGTCTCTCTTTAAAAAAAAAACAACCAAGACTGAATACTACTGCTGAGTGACAAATATTTAGACTGCTCAAATAAAACTTAGATCAACAGGATCTCTTACTTGTGCATCTAGAAAACTGTGCTCCATCATGAATTAAAAGTTGCTTGGACTTAATTTCATTCTGTTAGTACGAACACAGTCATGCTGAATAAACCTAAACAGTTGTCTATATTGGGAAGATATTCCTGTGTTTGAACACAGCTATGAAGAATTTAGTAAGCTAACATTACACTGATTATCACTGAAGAAACAGAGAAAAGCAAAGCAAATTGAGGTCATCAGTCTGTCAGGCAATGTGACAGTCTTGAACTGTGTACCATAAGATTTGTAACACGGACCACTTAACCCTAAAAATGTTTGCCTTGTGTATTACACTTTAATTTTTGGGCTTCTTTTATACAGATTGTCTTTATGACCTTTTTCCACTTAAATATGCAAAAGTTTTGCAAAAGCTTTATGTTTTCTCAGATGACCTGGTTACTTACACAACAAAAATACTATCTCCCTTTTTGAGGAGGGCATGGGAGATGGAATTGTGATCAAACAATTAACACCTTTCTCTAATTAGAACAATGAATCAAGATACCCAACTGTTGTAGCTTTTTCTTGTTGACAAGTGTAAGTTTTCCGATGTCAGCAAATACAATTTAAGACCAGCTTTTTGGAATATTTGCTGATTAGAAAGTGGATGAATCCACCTCAGGTACAGTTGTCATACCACCTCATTACTAATCCTCTTTAAATTTTGTCACAACAGCGTACACTCTTACTATAGAAACCCATTCTTTCTTAGGACAGCACAACACTACCATTATAGGTAATGAAATTACTATAATGATTTTTTTATTCCCCTTAACAGTTAACACATACTGTATTTTGGATTTTACCTTTCAATTGATTCTAGCTGTGCTCCCACCTAAGTGAACTACAAAGGAAACTAACACATTTGCTGTCTGAAACAAAGCTAGAATATTGACTTGTTGCACAGTGTTTATTGCAGAAACAAAACAGCTGTGGGCATTCTTAACACTTGTACTGTGAGGTTACAGTAAAAAAAATTATCTGGAATCACAAGACTCATTTTCTTATCTACGCAAGAACTAATTTTTAAAAGACATTTAAGGTACTATGCACAGACCTTTTCCTAGCCTACATAGGCAGGGCATAGGCAGTATTGTCATTACAGAACGAGACAAGATGAAAAAAAGAGAAAACCAATCAAAAACTCAAAAAACTTTGTTTGAAAGTCAAGTTTTATTATTAAAAAGGTACAAGTAAAGGCCAAGGATATTTTATTTGTCTTCTTATTCCCAAGACAGGAGAATGTATGAGGAGGACTCTGTGTCTATATTTCACACAAATGTAGGGTGAGTATAGTTTGAGAGACAGGTTTTAGGGTTAGATAAGACGCTTAAAGGAGCTAAATTAAAATTCAAATATAGCAGTATGACACCTACAGTTAGGGATTTTAAAACCACCATTAACTTGCTAAAATGGTGATGCATTGCCAATTCAAATGAAGGCATTGTTAGAAAAAAAGAACTGCTGCAAGGCCTACCTACAAATGAGACAGGACTTCCCCTATGAGAAGCTTCAACTAACCACTGCCTTCACATGGAACAGCAAAGCTGTACAAATCTTCAAGCCAGTATATCACCTTGGGAGCTTGATATAGCTCTTTTCATGTCTGCTTCTGCAATTGGTATTTCAGTGATCTTGATGCCTAATGGAGAGTTACCTGCATGAAAAGATAAAAAAAGGGAAGACTGATGAATTAAGTCCCCTCCTTTCCTCACAACTGCCCAGTCAAAATCGGATGGATGATGTGTCCATGCAGGGAGATTTTGCTTCCTATCAACCTTCAATTCTTGCAGTCAACAAACCATAAGAGATGGGTTTACTCTAACCTCACAGTTTGGGTTGGTTTTTTTTCCCCATTACTTTACTCTTCCCGTACAGCTTTACACAGATTTGTGCCTTTCTGTGTATGTCTCCAATTATGACCTGGTGGTAATATCATCCCTGCAAATCTCATTACAGACACGCAAAAGGTTTCCGAGGCAGCGCTGTCTGAAGCGTCAATTTGGGAGGAACTCCCCGGTCTCACCCGCCAGCAGCACCAGGGGGACTGAAGAATCACAGACTGGGTAAGGTTGGAAGGCACCACAGTGAGTCATCTGGTCCAAGCTCCCCACTCGAGCAGGGTCATCCCAGAGCACACGGCATTCAGATTGCATTCAGACCGTTCTTGAGTATCTCCAGTGAGGGAGACTCCACAAGCCCTATGGGCAAGAAGCTCTATCATCCAACAAAAGACGCCCCACGAAATGAAACGGAGTTTGCTTTAAAAGCAGAACACAGCAAACAGACAGGTCCCGCTGGCCCGGCCCCCGGCGCTCCCGCACCCGCTGAGTGCCCCGGCCCCCCCCGCGTCGCGCCCTGTCCGGCCTCTTCCCGCGGTGGCTCCGCTCGCTCGGCTGCTCCGGCCTCGCCAGTCCCTTCCAGCTCCTCGCGCGCGCTGCGCCCGGTCCACTCACCTTGAATCCCCTTGACATTGACGGGCTGCTGCTGGGGTGTAGCCTGCGCCCTCTCCCCTTCTGTGCCGGCCCCTGCCCCGCACGGTCTCACCGCCGCGCCAGGCCCGGCCCCGGCCCCGGCTGTCCGGGAACCAGTGCGGGCCCGTAGTAGCGGCGGATAGCCCCCTTCCCTTCCTCTCCTCCCCTTCCCTCCCCGCCTCCCGCTGCCTGAGCGGGCCAAACTGCGGGCGCTCATTTGCGGCCTTCTCGCTCCGGGCGAGGGGCCAGAGCGCCCCGGGCGGCGCTGCTAAAACCCGCATGAAGGGATTAAAGCAACAGGAAACGATCTAATTCCTTCTCCTCCTTCCGCCATCCGCTGCCTTTCGGGGGCAGATTCCGTCATGAATTTAAAGATCCGAGGCTGAGCGTGAACAGGGCGCTTGCTCGTGATGGTGGAGGGCTGAGCGAGGTTTTGGGGAGAGAGGTGAAGGTCAGGTTGGGGTTGGAAGCCAAAGAAAGCGGGTATGGAGGAAAATGGGGATCCAGTGTGCGGAGCTGAGGGAGCCCCGGGCCCAGCGCTGGCAGCAGCGAGACCCTGGCCCAGGGCTGGAAGTGCCAGGGCAGGACACTGCTCGGCAGCCTTTGGGGTCACACTGCAGCTGGAAACCCCCGTGACAGTCTTCTATCACGGCTTTTGTATCAGTAGACTGCCTGGTTTGCAGGCTTATTCTGTAACCGGTGTCCTCCCGCGATACAGCTAGATTGGATCTTGGGGTTTGAATCGTCGTTATGACTACGACGGTATTTAAGGCTGTTTAACTGTTTACTGAATCAGGACCCTCTGATGAGTGTCTCCTGTGGAATAATAAGAGTATTTTTATATGCGACTTGGTTTTTGAAATAGTTCATGTGGGTTATCGCACAGGAAGCAGCATTGGATATGGGTGAATTCTTAAAAGGTATGAACTTGACGTGTGTGCCTTCCTTCTGCAAAACCCAAATTGTTGCAGTTTCTGGGAAGACTGGTGTGAAGTCTGATGAATTACTCCAAGAAATGTGCACTTTCCCCTCCTATAACAGGTGAAGATGATTCACTTATCAACTTTTAAAACAGAAATGACATTTCCCATGCTATCATAAATATTTTTAAGTATTATAGAGCTGTTGGGTTTTGTTTGTTTCATCTGCACTCTTAATATGCTATGCAAAACAGTGATTGAATTATTTTAGTTCCGTTTTGTGTTTCATCATTGGAGTCTCAAATACCCTGGGGTTATATATATATACGTACATACATAAATATATATATATACACACACACATACATGTATATATGTATGTATAATGTATATATTTGTAATCCTATAATCCAGAACCATTTATTTTAATTTTGTTCTTATTTAGAAGTTTCAAGAAAGCTTTTTCAGTTACTCTTGCTTTTTGTCAGAAGTTGAAAATCTGTTTCACACAGAGAATACTCACCTGAACATGACAGTATTGGTAAGTTATATGAGTATTTAGTCACCGATATGGATATGTAAGATTTCCATATGAGGTTTATAGAATCATAGAATGTTAAGGAGTTGGAATGGACCTTAAAGTTTGTCTGCCATGGGCAGGGACAGCTCCCGCTAGAACACGTTGCTTAAGGCCTTATCCAGCCTGGCCTCGAACACTGCCAGGGTTTTAAGTTAATTTATCACGCACAGGTTAGGTGCTTTAGCTTTGGACAATATTCTAGGAACAAAAGGCATTTTTCTCAGATGCTATCCTGTTTATATTTAGAAATTGCCTTTCTGTAACATTCCAAACAGGCAACACCAATACCAGTTGAGGTTCTGAGTCATTTTTAGATCTCTAAACTCTTGGGGTTCATACAGTGAAGAAGGATTAAAAATACTCTAGATTATGAACTGTGCCTCATACTGGAAAAGTAATTATAAAATATCCATAATTCTTGGACATAAAACTTTGCCAAGATTGAGACACTTGAAGTATAAACCTATTTCTTGCTGTTATTAAATTTATATGTTGTAAATTACAGCACCAGATAAATACTTTGTCACTTTCTGAATTTCAGTAAAAAGACGGACATAAATTATGGCATTTTGGGTGCTTATATAAAAATACATTTACATGAACATTTTATGCATGCTAGTATAATTTGCTTTTTTATCCCTATATATGAAGCGTCCTTTGCACTGATAGATACTTATTCTGTTTTCATTCCCCTAGTTACTGTTATGCTATGTGGATGTGATTTCTTCTGTTTAAAAAAGTTGCATATAAAGAGTGTGTTCTACTTCGGAAGTCTTTTCAGCTGCAATGAGTTAAACTGAAAATACTCTTTAAATAACTTCCAGTACAGAGGAGCAAAAGAGACACCACCTTGATGATTTTCATAATGTACACTTCGTTTCAGAGGACCTGTAGTATGTTTCAGCCTCTAAATACTATCAGTTCTGTCACAAGTTTGACATATTTTTTGGTGAACCTGTTTGTTTCATGATGAGCTGTGACTCTTGGGAGGCAAAAAGGCGGTCAGGAGACTGCTTGGACTTTTCCAAGATTTTAAATGTTTCAAGAAGCTTGGAATAATTTTGGGGAAGGAATGAAATAAGGGGCGCACAAGTTAGATACTGCCCAACCTGTCTGCCATAGATCTTCTGAATAAGACGAATGGTTATACTGATGTAAATCTACATGAGAAATAAGAACCCCTTTAATTTTTTAATGAAATTTTAATGTGTCACATAGTGTTCATTGAAGAGACTAAAATGGATAACATAGATGTTTTGGGAAGCTGTAGAAATATGCCCAAAATTACTTCATTTCAAAAAGCTTGAATTTGGTATTGGATATTTATATATACAAAAATTTGGTATTGGATATTTAAAACTACACTTTTTGAAGTACCTCCATAGTTGGTTGCATTTTTCAGAATCTAAAGCTTTAGGTTTTTGCAATAATTTTCACAACAAAGTAGTGCCTGAAAATGTGTGTGACTATTTTTGGAAGTTTTCACCTAAACTTTACTGATTTTTTAGAACAAATATAAATTGATCTATAAACGGTGAAAAAAAAATTGAGCATTAAATTCATCTGATGTAATGTGCTGTGAACTTGCTTTCTGTAACTGACATACTTTCTTCTTATTAAGGAAGGTAGGCTATTTTCTGATAGAAAGATTTCCAAAACCTTTAAGAGTGTAAAATCCTTAAATGAGATCTGAGGAGCTTACAAGGTTCCTGACTTTGGAAACAATCCAAGTGTTGCCCTATAAAACCTGTATCCTGTACTTTAGTGGCTAAGGCTCAGCTGTGTGAAAGTGTTGCTGAGTCTGATCCTCTGTTATTTATCTCCCCTGCTCTGGTTAACATAATTGAGGCTGATTAAGTTGTCCTTGAGTCCCACCTTGCTATATCAGTTTACCCTCAATAGGGAAGTCCTTGCCCCTGAATTGCCTGTGAAAGTACTTCACCCCTTTTTTTTCCGAATCTTTCTGTATCATTGTTTCAGGTGTTATCTAACACATTTTCCAGCATGTGTAATCAATGCAATCCACCCTTCCTTTTTTTTTTTTTTTAATTACCTTCTCTTTCCAGCTGTTGGATGAAGTCTTAGGGTTTTTGTCTGTTGCTCCAGTTGCCAAGAAGTTTGACTGGAAAGTTATGCTCTCATTTTGTAAGTAAAATATATGAACAGCACCTCTGGACAGCTTATTATTTAAAGGGTAAAATTAATTGAAGGATTTTTTAATTTTTTTTTTGGTAGGGAACTCCAGCTGTAAGAGAAAAAACAGCCTTTGTGCTAATGTACTACAGTTACGTCCTGCTGTATTATACATCGAATATTAGAATATCTCAAGTTGGAAGGGAGCTTAAGGATCATTGGGTCCAACTCCCTGCTCCTTGCAGGACTTCCTAAAACTAAAAGGGACTAAGAGCATTGTCCAAACACTCCTTGAACTCTGACAGCCTTGGTGCTGTGACCAGTGCCCTGTTCCAGTGACTGATCACCCTCTCAGAGAATTGAACTAATTCCAATCTGAACTTCCCCTAAAGCAGCTTCATTTGTTGACATAGTTGATTAGTGATGCACTGTGAATTATAAACCAGAGGAAAAGGAATAACTAATATTTTAATTTTAGTGTACTCCTGTACTTTCTTTTTTTAAACAAAAACCCCGCAAACAATAACAACAAAAAACCCAACCAAACAAAAAAAACAAAACCCCAAACCCCCAACACAAAAAAACCCAGTACTTCGATTAAAGTGTTAAATTTCTAAAGTTAAACTTCTGCTTGATTTCCTACAGCAAATAATATTAAATGCTCAGAATAGTAGATTGTTTTTTCTTAAAATGCTTTAGTCTTTTTCTACAGAAGAGTACTGTTCTAACTGCTAGTATGTAGTATAGTTAAAAATATTAAACCTATTTATGTGTGTGCTTATCCAACACACACAGTACAGGGTTAATCTATAATGGTAGTAGTAGTAATAATAATAATAAACCAGAACAGAATCTAGATATCTTTGATACCTAAATAAATCCTGTTATAGTTGTACTGTTTGCTGTCTGATCCTGGCATTTTAGCATGTTGGAAAAACATACAAAAGCAATGCTAAGGATAGAGAAGGAAAAATCTATGTAATCTGTACAAAATATACAATTAGAGTAATGCCCCCTAGGATCTATCTGCTAAACTTACTGCATAGGTTGTATTTTGAGCTATGATAAGTAGTTTTGTTATGTAGCTGTAGCCAATAGCTACCCCGCCACCAAAACACATAGGATTGAAAATTGCCTTTGTTGATCTGTGCCTAAACTTATAGGGGGCTGAAAATATTTAAAATTCTCTACAAGCCGCATGTACAATATTAACCTTTCCCAACTGACAAGTGAACTTGGAAAATGGCTGCCAAGATAAGAAGTTTCTTAGCCTTGTGCTTAAAGCTGAACTAAAGGTAAGCCAACATGCAGAGAACATGACACTTCAGTATAGGAAATTTAGTCGTGTACTTATTTTTGTTTAGGTTTTGCTAGGAGTAGCGAGAGGGTTCCTAAAGCAGCTTAGCTTTGCAAGATACCTTCTCCTTGACTCAAAGTCATGTTGGACTGTACAGGGACAGGTATGCCAGCTTGTTGTGACCATTTGTGGAGGGATGAGAAGTAGTTTAGGCAACTGGGATCAGAAGTTGCTGCTTCTACAGCCGCTGTCTCCTTTGTGTGGAGACTGCTGTGGTCCTGTGTGTCACTGTTAGTCCACTCCTGCATGGTTTGTAATACAGGTCACCTCTGGTCTATACTGTAGAAGAAATTAGCTTGCAGTTAAATTCATTGCGGTGTTGTGAGATCCACAAGAGTTTTGGCATGTTTTCTTTCTCCCCAGTGTTACCTACCCATTGTCACAAGGTCAGAAGTCAAAAATGTACTCTTACTTTCATTTCATTGCACAAGTTGCCTAGGAGATTGCTGTTATAAGAAAACTGGTGAGAGTTCCATGCTGGAGTTTGCTTATGTGCATGCTGTCTTTTATTTTACAGTGTGAATGGGAGGTTAAAACAGCTTCCTATTTCTTCTTCATCCGAGCAAATAGCACCAATTCAACTAAACATCAGTCCTCTCTAGATTGTCCTCTATTATGGCTTAAGTGCAGGAATTAATCTTTTTAGGCTATAACCTGGCAATCTTGTAAGCCTGTTTTCTGCTTCTGTGTAGTGGAAACTTGCTTTCTTGTCATTCTCCATTTTCATCTGATTTTGGGGGAACAAAGAAGGAAGCAAAAATATTGTCTGTTCCCTGTGTTCTGTACTTCTAATTTGTTGCAAAAACAAAGAGATTAAGGATGTTATTAGATTAAAATACCTCATAGATGCTTCATGAGCAAATTTTGGAGATAACTAAAACAGCTCCTCATTGAGAATTAACTAACCATAAATAGAGTAAATAAGATTTGTCATATGCTTGAAAGCTAACATTTTAATTTAACAGGAAGGAAAATTTTGGCAAGAACATAGCAAACATACTAACCCAGAGTCTGACTTCTGGTATTCCCATGATTGATTTACAGATTGCCC